GCGATTGCCTTTTATTTAAGGGGTGTTCGAAAAGAATTGCTTATTGTCCTCGTGATCCATGTGGGACACGATAAAAACCAATACATACTTGTATAGGGTAATTCAATACCTTTACAACGGTGTATTAATGTACATGTAAGACTACGTGTTAGACATTTAAATACACGCAGTCATTGACCACTGTAGTAAGAATAGTTGGTAGAAGCGTCGACAAAATAGATGAAATACGGGCTTACATCAAAGCTCGCTCAAAACTGGGTTGCTCTTTGAAGCAGTTGATGACTGAACTCTCTACTGCTTATGGGCCTTCTTGTGTGTCTTATGACACAGAAAGAAATTTGAGTCTGGTGTAGAGTGCATCAAAAATGCACCAAAATCAGGTAGGCAAAATCTGCATCTCGTAACGAAATCGTTTCCAAAATAAAGGATATCATTGAAGGAGATGCCAGATTTACAATTCTTGATATTGCACGAAAGGTAGGCATATCACTATCAACGGTTCACTTTATTTTGAAGAAGCATTTGAAAGTCAGAAAGATTTCTGCCAGATGGGTGCGACATCTGTTGACCGATGAGCAAAAGAGGCAACAGGTTAAGGTGGACAAAAAGCTGCTTCAAATGTTTCCAAAATATGACAAAAAACAGTTTGCCAATGTCGTCACAGGAGATGAAACTTGGGTCCATTATTTTGAGCCCGTCGGAAAAGTTAGCAACAAAATCTAGGCCTCTAAACACAAGAAACGCCCGCTAATTGCCAAATGGTCTTTGAATGCAAAGAAGGTTTTGTATGCAATTTTCTTCTCTGGTGCAGGTGTCGAATAAAAGTGCCGGTGAAAAAGGGCAAAAGTATCACTGGGAAGTACTACAAAGACGTAGTTCTTAAGAAACTGAAAAAGTATTATAAGAAACGACGCCCTGTCGCTGGTTTTAAGCATATCTGTCTTCTACATGACAATGCCCCCATGCTCATACATCCGCAATAGTTTCGGCGTTTTTGAAAAAAGAAAAAGTAACTGTTTTGCCTCACCCCCGTATTCTCCAGACCTTGCCCCATGTGATTTCAATTTGTTTTCGAAATTGAAATCCTTTCTTGCTGGGCGGAAATACAAGTCCCGACAGGCACTTGGATCTGCCATTTATCAGTACCTTATTACTGTTCCCAAATTAGCGTACCGTGACGCCTTAAAGAAGTGGATATATCGGCTGAAACATTGCATTTCTAGCCACTGGGTATACTTCGGGGGCATGAAATGAACACTTTTGAGCTAACTTGAAATTTGAAGTCTCCAGATAGAAACAAGCAATTATCATAGTATTGCAAGCAATCCATAAGTCCCCTACCGGTTAGAACCCCAGCAACATTCTGAAGGGCCATTCACCTATGTTTCTATTTTAAGTAAATTTGTTGAAAAAGTTCTTTAAAAGTGATCACAGGAAACAGTTTTTATGTACAGACAGACGGACTGAAGGACACTCTACAGTTATTTTTTAAACATCCCTGTTGTCAAAATACAACATTTTTAAAAGCAAAATTTTTAAAAAGGAGATAACTCTTGAAATAAAGATGCAAGATGTCATACATGATGTGAGTGTAACAAAGAACAATTAGTAATGAAGGTATGAATAATGAATGTTTATTTTGAATTTGAAGTAAATGAAAGTTAAAAGAACGAATAAGAAAAATTAAAAGTTTAAGGAGGAGATAATTCTGGAAATATGGATGCTAGATTTATAAACCTTGTCATATTAGTATGATGTGGGAGTTTGAAGAAAATCCAATCATGATTGGAGAAGTTGGAGTAAAAATTACCAATTTCTCGGAAAAAAGTCTAAGTTCAAAAGGGGCATAATTCTGGAAATAGTCTTGCTAGAGTATTGAACTTTTTCACAAATGTTGAGTGATAATAAGAAACATATATATGAAGTTTAAAGTAGATACATTCAGAAAAAAAGAAGTTATTAAAAAAAAATATTTTTTCATGAAAATTTTAAGTTCAAGGGAGGTAATTCTGATAAATTATGTGCTAGAGTTGTAAACTTTGTCACATATGATGCGGTTGATGACTAGCAACTTATATTTAAAGTTTGAAGAAAATACCTTAAGAAATAAAGAACTTATAGTGAAAAAACTTAAAAACTAGAATCAGAAATCTTGACATTCAGTCTATTTGTAGCCATAGCAACCAGATTTTTCAACATAGGAAGATAAGAAAAGGATGTGCATAATTTCCAGACTGCCATCTACCCATATGTCAAGTTTCATAAAAATATTTTCAGTACTTTTTGCGTTATCACTGGATCCATGTTATGTGTAAAATTTGCCATATTTTCAGTCTATTTGTTGCCATAGCAACCAGAATTTTCAGCATAGGCAAAAAAGAAAAAGACGTGCATAATCTCCATACTGCCATCTATCCATATATCAAGTTTCATAAAAATATTTTCAGTACTTTTTGCGTTATCGCGGGATCCAGGTTATGTGTAAAATTTGCCATATTTTCAGTATATTTGTTGCCATAGCAACCAGAATTTTGAACATAGGAAGAAAAGAAAAAGACGTGCATAATCTCCATACTGCCATCTATCCATATATCAAGTTTCATAAAAATATTTTCAGTAACGGACGGAGAGTTTAAAAAACAAAAATTTATCAGAATTACCTCCCTTGAACTTAAAATTTTCATGAAAAAAATATTGTTTTTACTGTAAACCTAAAGTCCCCTCCGGTAAACCGGTAGAGAACTAATAAGCAATACATTTCGAACACCCCTTGTATAATGTTAACGTTATGCTGTCAGCGCGTCAATCAAAAAATGTTGTTTTTCACTTCAAACGATTATTATTTTTTATGTGATAAATAGAATATTAAATTCGTGTTAATTCATTACTGAATTTATAGAACTCGTTGATTACAGTCATAATATGCTTGCCCGAGAATCGCATAAGATAATTTTATTCAGTATTAAACTTACTTTCATTCAATATCCTCTATTTATTAAACAATATGATAATTTTATTTAATAATATACTAGAAGTAAATGCTGAATATATATAAAAAAAACTAGGGGTCATGGTTGATGCAAATATTTACGGCCATGATTCTATAGTAATTTGTGAAAATATTTACGGAATGTAAAACAAGTACCGTCTATAATGGTCTCATTGGCCTCCCGTGCATAAAAATTGTATCATCACAAAAATCGACTTGCATACATATTTGGTATCATTCAGTAAATTGCTGAATTCAAAATTTATAGGTCACCTTTTGATTGATAGTAACATTTATCATGCAACTACTATGGTAACTGCCCGATAACACTTGCCTGATAATTATTTTTGATATCAGGTCAGTAACCTGATATCAAAAATAAGCCCCGCCCATTTTAACGTACTTTTTTCAATTGCTTATATTCTCATTTTCATCAGCATGTGAATTCTACAATGTAATCTCATACCCTTACAAGTCTTGAATCAAGGTGAGATATTTATTTATTTATTATTTCGATTTCAATTACGAATAAATTAGATAGCGAATAGTTTTAGCACCAAATAATGAAGTGACGTCATAATTTATATTGCAAATGACATCATCGATGTTCACGTCATACTATACATGTAATCATAACAAACCGGCTAGACGATTGTCTTTGAGAACTTGTAAATGTTTACTTTATTTCGGCGGATTATTATTTAATAAGTGAAGAAATTGTTTCGTTTAAAAAACAAGACGCATGGTTGTGTAGCTTGTGTTTGATTGCCGATTTGAATTCTTTGATTGAAAATATCATGAACTTTTGAATTTGACAATTCAAGACAAAAATTGCAGTAAAATTTTGTTTATGTGATTCTAAGTGGATTTTTGGATCAATGTTTAAATTAAAGGTAAGAATTTTATCGTATTAGGCCTACATTCTTTTGTATCTCTTATTCGAGCCGAAAGAAAAAATGGCCGCCATTTACAAATTTTAAGTTTCAGGAGCGTAGGAATTTGTTTGTCAAGAATTATTTCTTTGAACAAAAATCCCCCTTTTTAACGAAATTCGCTATTTAAAAGTAGATTATTTTGTTATTTTGACAGTTATTATGTGTTACAAGATAAATAGAAAAACATGCTACTGTCTTTTGATATCAATTTTATCAGGCTCGGCTGATATGGGCAGAAAGGGCTCGGCAAGCCTCGCCCTTTCTAGCCCATATCAGCCTCGCCTGATAAAATTGATATCAAAAGACAGTAGCATGTTATTCTCTATTTAAGGGCATGAATGGCGACATGTCAGGGATCAGTACTCTCGGTGCCTAAAAGGGCGAATGGACCCTCATTAAGCCTAGATTACATACATACAAGTACCGTCTTTTGACTTAACAAAAATAGTCTTGTACGGAAATAACTTACTTCGGGAAATCTTTAGAAGTATTGTTATGTGCTATTACGGGGCTGAATAAACCCAACATCTGGATTTTTTTGCTTTTGTTCCAGCAATTTGGTGAAAAAGTGTGAACTAGGAATAAAATCTTGCAGCACTCAAAACATTCTGACACCAAAGAGTAGTTCTTATCGAAAGACAAAATTACAAAATCGTTCCTGTTTTGATCTTAATTAAATCTGCAATCTGAAACCGTTTGATTTTTAAGTGATTTGTCACTTATGCTGAAGTTGTAGCACATATTTCAATAAAAAGTGTCTAACATTGAATTCCTATGTTTTGTTCTAAACCAGTAGTGTTTAAGATATCTTTAAGAAATAGAAATTGGGGAAATAAGTACATCAAAGTTTCCCAAGACAGGAAATCACTGTAATGACCGACCGAGGCTTCTAGTCGGTTCAATTAAGTTCTCTCATACCATATCAAAGACTTGACACGCGTCAGAAAGAAATATTACAAAATGTTAACAAGTCTGAGTGTCAACATGATGAAAAATGTAGGTTAAACCCATATTTAGGAGTGCCCTATAAACTTTTCCGCAAGTCCTTATCTCATAAATATTTGTATCATTATAAAAAGCCGTCGAATGTTAATGAAAGCGACTTAAACATGGAGATCAGACACGTACACTTAGTTTGTGTAGGATACATTATTTTGTTTCACACACTGCTTATTGCTGCTGCTTCCACAAATGGGGATACATTGAAAATAGTTCTCTCAGAACTTGAAGATTTAAAGATGAAGGTCAATACATGCGAGGAGAGACTGGTGATACAAGACAACAAGCTAATGGCGGCCACCAATGAACAGAGATTATTAGTAGCCAACATGGAAGAAAGGCTTCTAGCTGCAGAGGAAAATCTTAAAACAACCGAAAAATTATATGAGAAAAAGTTAGCCAAATCAGACAGTAAACTCCGTGCCGTTGAAAGAAAACTTACAGTATTTGAGGAGATGTACGGTCGCTTATCTAACAAAGGAGAGCCAATCGAAGACGTTGAAGAAACTGATTTGAACGTGAATACCACCGATTTTGACGGGGAAAATATGAAACACAGTGCTGATGAAGAGAAGTTAGCATACCTAAATGGGTTCCATGTTTCTGAAACAGTATATGACAGCACTTTAGGGGAATCTCTGTTGACAGATACTGACAATAACCACGGAAATATAAGGGAAACTAACAACATCGGCAATACACGACGCTCATCTACTCAAAAATCAGAAAGGGGTAAGAAACTTAATAAGTAGATAAAGATCGTTTTGAAAAGATCTATTTAATCATAATTTAAATCATTAGTGTTCAACAACAACATACAATACAAATATATACATGATTTTAAAAACATGTATACAGTAATGTCATGATAATGCAATAGGGCTTTTTTTTTCATTTTAGCATCGCATACCATATATCATAAGCGACTTCTGAATCCAGCTGTCAACCATCGTGTTGCCTTCACAGCGCACTTATCAGTGCTCCTAGTTACCGAACTTGGGAAAGAGCACACCATTCCCTTCAATCAAGTTCTGTTAAACGAAGGTCAAGCATATGACGCTATCACAAGCACGTTCATATGTCCAGTCAACGGGATATACAACTTTCAATCAGCTTTAATGAGTTACAGGACACTTATCCAAACTGAAATCGTAAAAAATGGTATGCCTATTGGTAGAATGTATGCGAACGGTGCAAGTTATGGATTTGACCAAGGGTTTAATTCTGCAACTGTACAATGCAATAAAGGTGATCACGTGTGGGTCAGAGTACACAATCATTATGGCACCAGCGTGCTCAATGATTTATTTTCTTCGTTTTCTGGACACATCCTGTGGGAAACATAAAACTCTCTTTCAATTACTTTAATGTCCTTATCACTTTTTTTTCAATTAGTAATTTGAAATGTACAATAAACAAATACATGTATGTTTGGAATTACCATGTATAAAATAAACAATCAAAGTCGCTAATTATCTTGTGATTTTTATTGGCAATGACACAAAACCAACAAAACTGAGCACTATGAAGAAAAATATCTCTTATATCATAGTTTGGAGACCTTTTACCAGATAAGTTAAAATATTTCAATAAACGCAACTTGAGAAGAAATTAACTAAGATTGTAGAAAAGTAAAAAGATTCAAGATTCAAGTAAAAGTTAACATATTATATGCGATTAATGACTGAATTTTCAGGATTTATAACTGTATTTCTACAGCGTTACTAACGCAGTAAGGGTTATTTTTCATACTTTGGCCCTTTTTTGATAATTTATGTGTTTTCAAGTGCAATTGATAATTGGTTATTTCACAATATCATACATTAAAATACATTTTCAAAACTTCACGAAAATTAGCATGAATCTGGAGGCATGCTGCTTTAAGTCGTATCCCGACCCATATACGCACAGTGCGTTAACTGCAGTGCAAGTATCAATAAAATCGACAATGGTGCCTATTCATAAATAATTTCAAGCTACGGTTCATGCTATGCCTACAAACACACCCCTAACATTTAATTAAAGCAGAATTCAATTTAAATTTAGAAACATTGTTTTGACAACGGTATAGAAAGAATAGCGCAGTCACTAAAGAACGCCACAATTAAAATATAATTGAAAGTAGTGCTGGTTCGGTTTGATTAAGAGGCGGTGGTGGTTATTGCAAGCTATAAATTTAAGCATTTTATCATGAAAATTGTGAAAACTGTGTTGTTTGTAAACAACGTATCCGAGTGCTTAGTACACCCGATCCCAGGGCAATGCATATAATGACCCCAAGGCTATAATTTGATCAAACTTTGTCGCTGTCCACTAGATAATGTTTTATACCCAAGCATTGGCAAAATTTAGTAATTTGACATTAAAGGTCAAGGTCAGTTATGGCTTACATTCAAGGTTAGTCTGGTCATCTTAAAGGAACATTCCAAAGGATTGTAATGTCCAAGCATGAAGACAATTCATTCATTAACAATAAAGCAATAGCCACTTTGGTCCATCTCTAGGTATATTTTCTAAGTTAACAAGGGCAACGTTGTCGCAAAATATGCCCGTCACAAAAGCTTTTGACAGAGATGTGGGCATTATAGATATGCATATAGGAGATATGATCTGGGCAATATAATATCCGGACAAAATTAGTACATTGTATATTTCATCATCTTTTGTGACCTTGACATTGCATATATTGATCTAAATTACATCACAAAAGCTTTTGACAGAGATGTGGGCATTATAGATATGCATATAGGAGATATCCTCTGGGCAATATAATATCCGGACAAAATTAGTACATTGTATATTTCATCATCTTTTGTGACCTTGACATTGCATATATTGATCTAAATTACATGTGTCTCAGCCTTAGTAATGATAATGACCATTTGTGTTACAATCCCTAAATAAATGATGACTAAATGGTCCTTATACAAGTCTTCATATTTTTACCTGAACTTTGACCTCTATTTGTGACCTTGACCTAGGCGACAGGGACCTGAATTTTACGCACACCAGTTTTTCAAACGGGCGTATAAAAACAGTATAGTATATGGACGAAACATTTAATTTCTTCCACCATAACAAAGTTAAAGAAAAAAGATAATGCAGTCATGTTTAATGAAAAGGTATGCCTTTAGTTCTACAGAACATTTTAAATTAAAACTGAAACCTTTAAATTACACCTGATACACAGATTTTGACTCTTAAACAGTCGTTGAAAATGCTACTAAAATGTCGAAAGAAAATAAATCGTTATTTGACTTCAAAAAGTATAGCCCAAAGAAATTAAGACCTAAAATGCTACACTAATGATTTCTTTTCAATATGCAAATTGTGCTGTGTGAAATATTCCAAATTATGTATTTAGTTTCACTAGTTTATCAATCCCAGTCACTAGAGTCAAACATCTGATTCCACGTTAATCTTATTGGAGACAAACTGATAAAATCCCGATCCAAAATGAAATTGGTGTGAAAACCATTGGTTTTGAAGAACGTGTCTCAAGCAAAACGTGCTAATGTGATATTATGCCAGTCCAAGAGTATATGTATATATAGTGAATCAACAGGTGCAAGTAAAAATAAGTTTACATTTTGCCGTAACTCCCTTCAAATTCATAATTTAGTTCGCAAGAAATGTACACAAGGAAACGTATGCAAATACTCAAGTTTAGTATTATATTGTATTGATTAAAAATTCATGTAAGAAAGGCACCGCGCAGGTCACTTTCGTTGTGTTTGATCATGAAATATTTTCTACGGTCATTCACACAGTACCTTTGCCCTAGCATGTACAGAAGTTATCAGTTCCTTGTTAAAGTGAAGGCAACTAGTGCTCGTAAACGGTTTGACACCTTACCCAGGCACGATGCGGTGGCTGAACTATGCTCGGGTAAATTCAACATGGCTCTCTGTCGTAATCCAGAGTGTAAACTAGCACTACCACCACAACTTCAACTTGGTCTTCCCCCATAAGCATCATTCAACGTAGTTTTCCTTTCTGATCAAGACCATGTGTCATTAACAAATTGATAATAAGCATAATTTACAATATGATAAAAATGTAGGTTAACACCATATTAAGAAGCACTGTCAAGTGTCAACGAGTTCTTTTGCGATATCATAAAAAGCCACTAGTCGGAATGAAAACGACCTAAGCATGACTACCAAAAACGTACACTTAGTTTTGTTTGGTTATATCATTTTGTTTAACACACAGCTAGCTGCTTCTGCTGCCACCACAGATAGAGATAAATTGACTAGAGTTCTCTCTGAACTTGAAGAATTAAAGGAGAAGATCAGCACATGCGAGGAAAGACTGACGATAGTGGAGGTTCACAAAAATGACTACACGCTGAGAGCGTCCACAAATGAACAGAGATTGGCTCACATGGAGGAAAGACTTCTCGCTACAGAGAGAATAACCGAAAATATTTATGAGAAAAAGTTAGCTCAGACAGAGAGTAAACTTCGTGGAGCAGAAATCAAACTAAACGTCGTTGAAGAGCTACATGACCGCTTAGCACATATAGAGAAGTTGATCGCAGGCTTTAGTTTCAAAGATGGTTACATTGAATCGGTCAAGGAAGCAGCCAATAGTTTGAGAATACTACTGCCACATAATCCGATCAGGGAGAAGATATCTAATGCAAAGATATTTGGTATCCTCGAAGAAAAATATGGGGATGAAACCGACAATAAAACCAACACTCAAAGAGATGACTTTTACAATATCGCTGAAACACGACGATCACCTAGTCGAAAAATAGAGACAGGTAAGAAACCATTTATACATGTATATTCAAATTGAGTTTCTATGATGAAAATACGATGGCACGGTGGTGAAATGGTGAATCGCAATAGTATAACATGACGGCAAAATTCGATGGGAAAATGGTGGACGCAAGATGGGATAATGCAGTATTACGTCACCATTTTACGATTGTACCATCGTATTTTCATTATCGTATTATAGCGTTTTCATCCCGATTTTGAGGAGAAAAAGAACCCCAATAAACACGTAAACAAGTAAGATTTATGTTTTGAACCTTGTCAATGCTAAAGTTCATTTAAAAGGCGGTTGAGGCGCACATAGTTCTTGCATAACATTGCCTTTTTTTATTATATCTTGAGGACCAATCGTTTTAATTGAATCCAAATTTAATACATCAAAAATACTTTGCATGCGTTTAGGACCAATATTGTATTTATTGGCGAATGCAATAAATTTTGTTTACGCCAAGTTTGTATAACGCAACAAACGTCAGTCAAAATATCTACACATTGTTTATAATAAATTGTTTATCCTACAACCATAATGGTAACAGGATAAGCAATTTAAGTTCCCCTCGTCTATCTTGCTTTTCTGTCAAACCCCTCGTGACAAATCAAAGATCAGATACTATATCAACAACAGAACATATAAATATAAGATTTGAATTTCTTTTTTGTATATTTTTAGGGTCCAACTTTCCCTTCTCGAAGCCACTTTTGGGTGTAGTCGTAAATCACAAGCCTGCTTTTTCAGCCTTTTTATCCGATCACGTATCTGGACTGGGAAAAGAGCAAACAATTCCATTTGATGATGTTTTGCTAAATGAAGGTAATGCGTATGAACCAGTTCTGCATGCATTCATATGTCCTGTCAATGGGATATACATGTTCCTATCAGGCGTTATGTGTAATCATAATCAAAATATTCAGACTGGAATCGTCAAGGATGGGACAAGTCTAACTAGAATATATTCTGGAGGAGCTACGGGAAGTGACGGGTATGATCAGGGCTTTAATTCTGCCATTGTGAGATGTAATCAAGGGGAAAGGGTATGGGTTAGAGTGCATCATACATTAGGGACGGCAGTATTCAGCGGGCGGTACTCTTCTTTTTCAGGCTATATCCTGTGGGAAGTGTAATATTACTGTAATCAAATAAAGTCATTAAAGTAAAACAAAGCTTTGTAAATGAAAGGAGAATTTATTGTCCTTTGTTTAAAAATATACATAAAGAAATTAACATAAGTAAATATTTAAATGAACACTTCAGTGATAAGGTAGATTAGTCTTAGAACACAATATGGTAAGACACTTGTAACTTTAAAACAAAAAAATAAAATAAACTGTTGCCTATTTAAATCAGCAAAAATTTATTCTATTTTTGAAACACAAATCTGAAGTTCCACAGGTTTAGAACACAATGGCTACAAGTTCTAAGTCGTAACATGATTAGCATGTATGTTATGAAAGGGCCTTTAGAGCACAAATGAGAAATGGAAGTACATGTATAATTTTTTATGAGATTTATGTAGCACCAACACAACATAAGTCATATGGCCACTTTAGAATAATGCGCGAGGTACAGCTGCAGAGCTTTGTAATTAATCTCTTAATGTAGTGAAAATTAGTGTCAGGTGTGTTAGAATCATCAATATATCAATCTAAATTTTTGTTGAATACAGAAATTCAATTAAGTTTAAAAATTAATTGTATAACAAATTCTATTCTATATTTTGTATCAAAATTAATTTCATGCTGCAGTAAATGCATTGAAGTAATAAATTCTAATGTATTTTGTTTAGAGATAAAATAATTTTGAAACAATTTTTCAGCTGTATATTGTGTGACAATTCATATAACTGGGAACTGTAGTCGCTTAACAAGCTTTTAAAACATTCATTAATAATTAATTATGAATACTTTTGAAACAAATATTTATTTGCCTATGATTATATTCTGAGACTAAGACTAAGGGTATGCCGACCTTTTTAAGGTAAGTAGACATGCCAAGAAAATATCTGTCATTTCAACAAAATGTGAATTACATTCTCTACTACAGAATTGTTTTGAACAATAAACAACAATAAGTACAGATAAAACATAAAGTTACAACTAAGCCCAGTAAGAAATCAATCAAATGGAATGCAAAAGGTTAGGTTTCACAAAATATTCCTCACTCAGTTACACTGCATGATTGGAGCAAAAATGTTGTATCAACATTCATCTTTATTCTGAATTTTGAGAACTTGAACATCTCTAGATTTGTCTAACTGAACCACTGTATAAAACTCTGCTTATAACCAATGTTTAATGGTTAACAACATTCAGTTAACATAAATCATGATTTTGAAGCTTGCTTTGAAAAGAAAGACACTATTGATGGGATTCCATGTACAGGACTCTGTGAAGGAAAGAAGATTAAATCAATAAAATTTTACCAATAAAAGTTATAATTTGACAATAAAGAGACACCAAAATCAATGTAAACCATAGCTCAGGCATAGTTTAACTAGGGCTGTCATTGAATATCGCGATATCAATATATCATCGATATTCATCATCCGATACAATATGGATACACATTTTCAAATATCGATACAAGCTAAAATTTATTTATTTCTGTTAGTAAATATATACCCCTCAATTTTGCCTAATAAGAGAAGTCACTTTTTTCCAGTTTTCTAGGCTAACTTGAACTTTAAACTCTGTTTTCAAATGTCAGTGACAAAAATAACAGAAAAGAAGCTTTCTGTTAGTTTGTAGTATTTGTACTCTAATACATACATGAATTACACCATGATCCCAATTTATAACACACATTTAAAGGATTTTCATTGTATCTACTGTTACATATCGTCGATATTTGTCTTTCGGTATATCGATACAAAATTGTCCATCAATGACAGCCCTAAGCCCTACTTCAGGAAATCTTTAGAAGTATTTTTATGTGCTATTACGGGGCTGAATATACACAACAGCTGGCTTTTTTTGCTTTTGTTCACACCAATTTAGATGAAAAAGGTTTGGTCAAATGGCTTGAACAACAACAGTTTTGTCTACCAGTTATTTGAATCATTTCAAAACGAATATTGTGTGAACTAGGAACAAAATCTTGCAACACTCAAAAGAGTAGTTCTTATCGAAAGACAAAATTACAAAATCGTTCCCGTCTTGATCTTAATTAAATCTGCAATCTGAAACCATTTGATTTTTAAGTGATTTGTCACTAATACTTAAGTTGAAGCACATATTTCAATAAAAGTGTCTAACATTGTATTCCCATGTTTTGTTCTAAACCAGTAGTGTTTAAGACATCTTTAAGAAATAGACAGTGGGGAAATAAGTACATCAAAATTGCCCAAGACAGGAAATCACTGTAATGACTGACCGAGGATTTTAGTCGGTTCAATTAAGTTCTCTCATACCGTATCAGACTTGACGGGTCAGAAAGAAATATTATAAGATGTTAACAAGCCTGATCGTCAACATGATAAAAATGTAGGTTAACCCCATATTTAGGAGCGCCCTATAAACTTTTCTGCACGTCCTTATCTCATAACTATTAGCATCATTATTAAAAGCCGACGGGTTTTAATGAAAGCGACTTAAACATGGAGAACAGACACGTACACTTCGTTTGTGTAGGGTACATTATTTGGTTTCACACAGTGCTTATTGCTGCTGCTTCCACAAATGGGAATGCATTGAAAATGGTTGTCTCAGAACTTGAGGATTTAAAGACGAAGGTCAATACATGCGAGGAGAGACTGGAGATATACGACAAAAAGTTAATGGCGTCCACCAATGAACAGAGATTACTAGTAGCTAACATGGAAGAAAGAATTCTCGCTGCAGAAGAAATCTTAAAACAACCACAGAATTATATGAGAAAAAGTTAGCCAAGTCAGACACTAAACTTCATGCCGTTGAAAAAAAAACTTACAGAGTTTAAGGAGATGTACGGTCGCTTATCTAACAAAGAAGAGCCAATTGAAGACGTTGAAGAAACTGATTTGAACGTGAATACCACCAATTTTGACGGGGATAATATGAAACACAGTGCTGATGAAGAGAAGCTAGCAAACCTAAATGGATTCCATGTTTCTGAAACAGTATATGACAGCACTCAGTATATGACAGATACTGACAATAACCAAGGAGATATAAGGAGAACTAACAACATCGACAATACACGACGTTCTTCTACTCAAAATTCAGAGAGGGGTAATAAACTTAATTTGCAGATAAAGATAGTTTTATTCAATAGGAAATCATTTCAAAAGTTTTGATAGACAATATAAAAAATATATATATATATATTTATATCTACTGCAATGCCATGATAATGCTTTAGGTTTTTTTCTTATTTTAGCATCGGACACCATATATCATAAGCGACTTCTGAATCCAGCTGTCAACCATCGTGTTGCCTTCACAGCGCACGTATCAGTGCAAGTAGCTACCGAACTTGGGAAAGAGCACACCATTCCCTTCGATCAAGTTCTGTTAAACGAAGGTCGAGCGTATGATGCTATCACAAACACGTTCATATGTCCAGTCAACGGTATATATATCTTTCAATCAGCTTTAATGAGTCCTTACAAAGAAGTTATCCAAACTGAAATCCTAAAAAATGGTGTATCTGTTGGTAGAATGTATGCAAATGGTGGAAGTATTGCATATGATCAGGGGTTTAATTCTGCAACTGTACAATGCAATAAAGGTGATCACGTGTGGGTCAGAGTAACCAATCACTATGGCACCAGCGTGTTTAGTGAGTTATATTCTTCGTTTTCTGGACACATCCTGTGGGAAACATAATAACTCTCTTTCAAATACTTTAATGTCCTTATCACTTTTTTAATTACTAATTTGGGATGTACAATAAACAAATACATTTATGTTTGTAATTACACATGTATATAATAAACATGCAAAGTCGCGAATTCTTTTGTGATCTTATTGACAATGGCACACAACCAACAAAAAGCAAAATATCTCTTATATCATAGTTTGGAGACTTTTTAAAGCTATATGCCTCCAAATAAGTTAAAATATTTCAATAAACGCAAACTTGAGATGAAATTTACTAAGTTTGTAGAAAAGTAAAAAGATTCAAGATTCAAGTAATAATATGCATGTTATATGAGATAAATGACTGAATTTTCAGGATTTATTACTATACTTTTAATGCGTTACTAACGCAAGTAAAGGTTATTTTTCATATTTTGACCTCTTTTTGGTAATTTACGCGTGCTGCAAGTGCCATTGATAATGTGAAAATTGCTTCCTTCTGGTTTTTTCACAATATCATATATCAAAATACATTTTTAAAATTTTATTAAAATTAGCATGAATTTTGAGGTATGCTGCCTTAAGTCGTATCCCCACCCATACAAACACAGTACGTTTACTGCAGCGCAAGTATTAACAAAATCGACAATGGTGCCTATTCATCTACGATCCAAGCCATGTCTACAAACACACCCCATAACATTTGATTGAAGCAGAACTCAAATTTAAATTTAGAAACATTGATTTGACAATGAAAAAGAAAGTAAAGCTAATAGAACTTTCAATGTGGCAAGCACGTGTCATTCTATGACATGTGGCGTATGGTTACCAAGTAAAAGAATGCATCAGTCTTAAATAAAATGAAAGACACGATCCTTTATTAGTTATATTTGTGTAATTAAAAAAGTGAGGTCATCCATGGAGATTATCTATCTTACAAACAAGAGGGCCATGATGGCTCACCTGTATATAGGCCCCCGGAGCGGGGGCCAGTTTAAACCCCGGGGCTTTTATTTGAACAAACTTGTCAATGCTAAAGTTCATTTAAAAGGCGGTAGAGGCGCACATAATTCTTGCTTAACATTGCCTTTTTTCATTACATCTTGAATTTGGATTCAATTTAAACGATTGGTCCAATCGTTTAAATTGAATCCAAATTCAATACATGTACATCAAAAATACTTTGCATGCGTTTAGGACCAATATTGTATTTATTGGCGAATGCAATAAAATTTTGTTTACGCCAAGTTTGTATAACGCAACAAACGTCAGTCAAAATATCTACACATTGTTTATAATAAATTGTTTATCCTACAACCATAATGGTAACAAGGATAAACAATTTAAGTTCCCCTCGTCTATCTTGCCCCTCGTGACAATGTAGAAAATCTAATCAAAGATCAGATACTAAATCACCAATAGAACATATAAATATAAAATTTGAATTTCTTTTTTGTATATTTTTAGGGTCCAACTTTCCCTTCTCGAAGCGACTTTTGGGTGTAGTCGTAAATCACAAGCCTGCTTTTTCAGTCTTCTTATCCGATCACGTTTCCGGACTGGAAAAAGAGCAGACAATTCCATTTGATGACGTTTCGCTAAAAGAAGGTAATGCGTATGATCCAGTTCTGCATGCATTCATATGTCCGGTCAATGGGATATACTTGTTCCAATCAGCTGTAAACTGTATGCAGTATCAATATATGCAGACTGAAATCGTCATGGATGGCACAACATTGACAAGGAGCTACTGGTAGTGACGGTTATGATCAGGGCTTTAATTCTGCCATTGTGAGATGTAATCAAGGGGAAAGAGTATGGGTTAGAGTTCATTATGTATATGGGACGTCAGTTTACAGCTGGCGGTACTCTTCTTTTTCAGGCTATATCCTGTGGGAAGTGTAATTTTACTGTAAAGAAATAATGTCATTAAAGTATAACAAAGCTTCTTAAATGAAAGGAGAATTTATTGTCCTTTGTATAAAAATATACATCAAGAAATTAACATAAGTAAAAGTAAAAATTATAATGAACACTTCAGTGATAAGGTAGATTAATCTTAGAACAAATATGGTAAGACACTTGTAACATTATTAAAACAAATAATAAAATCAACTGTTGCCTATTTAAATCAGCAAACATTTATTCTATTTTTGAAACACAAATCTGAAGTACCATAGGTTTAGAACACAATGGCTTCAGGTTCTTAGTCGTAACATGATTAGCATGTATGTTATGAAAGGGCATTTAGAGCACAAATGAGAAATGAAAGTACATGTATAATTTATGTTGGGTTTTATGTAGCACCAACACAACATAAGTCATATGGCCACTTTTCTGGTGAAGGAAAGCCTCAAGCAAAGACGGGAAGCTGAGTAGAACCACAACTGAAAGGAACACATGCAAGGGCCAACATATATGAAATATATGTAAAATACATTAACATATAGGAACACAAGAAGGTAAAGCATGAAGACTATGATTTTGAACACAATGGGTTACAACTATTTCTACAATTCTCAAGAAGAACACATTTTCTATAATTTATAATACCTTGGAGTAAAGCTTATATACAAGTGGCAATCCCCTAAAACTAAAGAAAGTAAAAGTATAAACTTCAAATCTCTCTTCAAATGATATCTTGAAGAAATATATTATATAAAGAACTGTGAGTTTCATCTTTATCATGACAGTTGTATAAGGCAGTAAAAAAACAAATTTTATTTTACAGCACAATATTTCCCCATTTTTTTACTTTATGTGTTGCATAGTTTTTAAAGAATCCAAAGACAATCATATACAGCTTAATTCTACCTGTCATAGATATTTTTTTACAAATTATTTGACCCCATTTAAATCATTGAGCAGCTTTTTTTACAAGTTATTTAACACTTTGTTAAATCATTGAGCAAAGTACAGGAAGGAAAACTGTATCAAATTTACACTGGCATTGTATCATAAAATAGACAAGGCTTTATACATAAAGCTGGACAAAATTAATTATCTATTCTGCATCAAACTATGTTATAAACTGTAAATTGATTAGGAAAATGGGTTGTAGAAGAATTATGAGTTATTGCTGCAATGCTTTGTAATCAATCTCTCAATGTAGTGAAAATTAAAGTGTCCGATGTGTAACAATCATCAATGTATCAGATCTAACTTTTGATGAATACAGAAATTCAATTAAGTTTAAAAACTAATTGTATTACAAGTTCTATTCTATATAATTTGTATCAAAATTTATTACATGTTGCAGAGAACGCAATGCAGTAGGTAATTCTGATTTATTTTGTTTGGAGATGGAATTAGTTTGAAACAATTTTTCAGCTGTATATTGTGAGACAATTCATATTACTAGGAAGTATAGTCGCTTAACAAGCTTTTAAAACATTCATTAATAATTAATTATGAATACTTTTGAAACAAATATATAATTGCCTATGATAATACTTAATGTTCTGTGCCAAGACTAAGGGTCTGCCGACCTTTTTAAGGTAAGTAGACATGCCAAGAAAATGTCTGTCATTTCAACAAAATGTGAATTACATTCTCTACTACAGAATTTTTTGAACAATAAACAACAGTTAGTACATAAAGTTAAAACTAAACCCAGTAAGAAATCAATCAAATGGAATGCAAAAGGTTAGGGGTTTTCTTTTTGTTTCACAAAATATTCCTCACTCAGTTGCACTGCTGCATGATTAGAGCAAAAATGTTATAAATTGTCAGGGATTTTTTCCAGGATTTTGGGAACACGACCCACACCTATGAAATTAGGAATTTCAGCGGTGTTTTGTTAAAAATTGGGGGAAAATGCATGACTGAAATTTTGCAGTGATAACATGGATGCAAACAATTACTGTCTATGATGGGATCTTCAAACATTTAAGCACTATTACAGTGAAGAAGCCCTTATTTACAAAGATTTTAGAATTTTTATTCTATTACAGTGAAGAAGCCCTTATTTACAAAGATTTTAGAATTTTTATTCAATATTTTTAGTTTGTAACTTTCAATTGGGAATTTCTTCCTGTGGATTAGGAAAATAATATACTATTTTCAATTGGGAATATGACCCAATAACGGCTATAAAATAAGCCAAAAAAATCCCTGTTATATCAACATTCATCTTTACTCTGAATTTAGAGTACTTTAACACATCTCTAGCTCTGTCTAGCTAAACCACTGTATAAAACTCTGCTTATAACCAATGTTCAATGTAACATATTCAGTTAACATATATCATGATTTTACAGCTTGCTTTGAAAAGAAAGACACTATTGATGGGATTCCATGTACAGGGCTCTGTAAAGGAAAGAAAAAAGATTAAATCAATAAAATTTTACCAATAAAAGTTATAATTTTTTTATTAAGACAATAAAAAGACACCAAAATCAATGTTAACCATAGCTCAGACATAGTTTAACTAGAGCTGTCATTGAATATCGCGATATCGATATATCATCGATATTCATCATCCGATACAATATAGATGCACATTTTCAAATATCGATACAAGCTAAAATTTATTTATTTCTGTTAGTAAATATATACCCCTCAATTTTGTCTAATAAGAGAAGTCACTAGTTTCCAGTTTTCTAGGCTAACTTGAACTTTAAACTCTGTTTTCAAATGTCAGTGACAAAAATAACAGAAAAGAATCTTTCTGTTAGTTTGTAGTATTTGTACTCTAATACATACATGACTAACACCATGATCCCAATTTATAACACACATTTAAAGGATTTTCATTGTATCTACTGTTGCATATCGTCGATATTTGTCTTTCGGTATATCGATACAAAATTGTCCATCAATGACAGCCCTAAGCCCTACTTCAGGAAATCTTTAGAAGTGTTTTTATGTGCCATTACGGGGCTGAATATACACAGCAGCTGGCTTTTTTGCTTTTGTTCACACCAATTCAGATGAAAAAGGTTTGGTCAAATGACTTGAACAACAACAGTTTTGTCTCCCAGTTATTTGAATCATTTCAAAACAATATTGTGTGAACTAGGACCAAAATCTTGCAACACTCAAAAGAGTAGTTCTTATCGAAAATTACAAAATCGTTCCCGTCTTGATCTTAATTAAATCTGCAATCTGAAACCATTTGATTTTTAAGCGATTTGTCACTAATTGTAGCACATATTTCAGTAAAAAGTGTCTAACATTGTATTCCCACGTTTTGTTCTAAACCAGTAGTGTTTAAGATATCTTTAAGAAATAGAGAGTGGGTAAATAAGTACATCAAAATTGCCCAGACAGGAAATCACTGTAATGACTGACCGAGGCTTTTAGTCGGTTCAATTAAGTTCTCTCATACCGTATCAAAGACTTGACACGCGTCAGAAAGAAATATTACAAAATGGTAACAAGCCTGGTCGTCAACATGATAAAAAAATGTAGGTTAAAACCATATTTAGGAGCGCCCTATAAACTTTTCCGCACGTCCTTATCTCACAACTATTTACATCATTATAAAAAGCCGACGGATTTTAATGGAAACGACATAAACATGGAGATCAGACACGTACACTTAGTTTTTGTAGGATACATTATTTGGTTTCACACATTGCTTACTGCTGCAGCTTCCACAAATGGGGATACATTGAAAATAGTTCTCTCAGAATTAGAAGATTTAAAGATGAAGGTCAATACATGCGAGGAGAGACTGGTGATAAACGACAACAAGTTAATGGCGGTCACCAATGAACAGAGATTACTAGTAGCTAACATGGAAGAAAGACTTCTCGCTGCAGAGGAAAATCTTAAAACAACCGCAGAATTATATGAGAAAAAGTTAGCCAAGTCAGACAGTAAACTCCGTGCCGTTGAAAGAAAACTTACAGTATTTGAGGAGATGTACGGTCGCTTATCTAACAAAGGAGAGCCAATCGAAGACGTTGAAGAAACTGATATGGACGTAAATACCACCGATTTTGACGGGGAAAATAGAAAACACAGTGCTGATGAAGAGAAGTTAGCATCCCTAAATGGGTTCCATGTTTCTGAAACAGTTTATGACAGAACTTTAGAAGAATCTCTGTTGACAGATACTGACAATAACCAAGGAAATATAAGGGACACTAACAACATCGACAATACACGACGCTCATCTATTCAAAAATCAGAAAGGGGTAAGAAACTTAATTAGCAGATAAAGATCGTTTTGAAAACTCCTATTTAATCATAAATTTATTAAGTAGTGTTCAAAGACATCATATAATACATATATACAAATATAAACATGTATTTATATATACAGCAATGCCATGATAATGCAATAGATTTTTTTCTCATTTTAGCTTCGGATCCCATATATCATAAGCGACTTGTGAATCCAGCTGTCAACCATCGTGTTGCCTTCACAGCGCACTTATCAGTCGACGCTACCGAACTTGGGAAAGAGCACACAATTCCCTTTAATCAAGTTCTGTTAAACGAAGGCCAGGCATATGACGCTATCACAGACACGTTCATATGTCCAGTAAACGGGATATATATCTTTCAATCAGCATTAATGAGTGATGGGGAGAAAGTTATCCAAACCGAAATCGTAAAAAATGGTGTGCCTATTGGTAGAATGTATGCAAATGGTAGGAGTATTGGATATGATCAGGGGTTTAATTCTGCAACTATACAATGCAATAAAGGTGATCACGTGTGGGTCAGAGTACACAATCATTTTGGCACTACCGTTTATAATGATTTATATTCTTCGTTTTCTGGACACATCTTGTGGGAAACATAAAACTCTCTTTCAATTGCTTTAATGTCCTTATCACTTTTTTTTTCAATTAGTAATTTGAAATGTACAATAAACAAATACATGTATGTTTGGAATTACACATGTATGTAATAAACATGCAAAGTCGCGAATTGATTTTATTGACAATGACACAAAACCAACACAACTGAAGCTAAATATCTCTTATATCATAGTTTGGATACCTTTTAAAGCTACATGCCTCCAGAGCAGCTAAAATATTTCAATAAACGCAAACTTGAGAAGAAATTAACTAAGCTTGTAAAAAAATGTTAAAAGTAGAAAAGTTTAAGATTCAAGTAATAATTTACATATTATATGGCATTAATGACTGAATTTTCAGGATTTATAACTATATTTCTACTGCGTTACTAACACAGTTATTTTTCATATTTTGACCTCTTTTTGGTACTTTACGTGTGCCATTGATAATGTGAAAATTGCTTCCTTTTGGTTATTTCACAATATTATACATTAAAATACATTTTCAAAATTTCATGAAAATTAGCATGAATCTGGAGGAATGCTGCTTTAAGTCGCATCGCACAGTGTGTTAACTGGAGTATTATCAAAATCGACAATGGTGCCCATTCATGAATAATTTCAAGCTACGGTCCATGCTATGCCTACAAACACACCTCTAACATTTAATTAAAGCTGACTTCAAATTTAAATTTAAAAATGTTGCTTTGACAATGAAATAGAAAGAAAAGCGCGGTTCCTAAAGAACGCCAAAATTAAAATATAATTGAAAGTAGTGCTGGCTCGGTTTGATCAAGAGGCGGCAGTGGTTATTGCAAGCTACAGATATACTAGCACCGGCTTAAGCATAATATGATGAAAATGGTGAAAAATTGTATTTAAAAACGCCCGACGGTTTGTTCATACGGCAGTGATCGATATAACCCTCACTGTGGCACGCACGTGCCATTCTATGACATGTAGCGTATGGTAACCAAGTAAAAGAAGCATGAGTCTTAAATAAAATGAAATTTTGAAAGACACGATTCTTTATTAGTTTTATTTGTGTACTTAAAAAGTGAGGTCATCTATGGAGATTATCTATCCTATCAATAAAACGAAAAATTTGAAAAACAGAAACAACAGTCTACACATTAAAGTAACTGTGTTGTTTGTAAACAAAGTATCCGAGTGCTTAGTACACCCCATCCCAGGGCAAGGCATATTTTTACCGCAAGGCTATATTTTGATCAAACTTTGTCGCTGTCCACTAGATGTTTTATACCCAAACATTATAAAAATTAAGTAATTTGACCTTAAAGGTCAAGGTCAGTTATGGCTTACAGTCAAGGTTAGTCTGGTCATCATAAAGGAACATTCCAAAGGATTGTAATGTCCAAGCATGAAGACAATTCATTCATTAACAAAAAAGCAATAGCCACTTTGGTCCATCTCTAGGTATATTTTCTAAGTTAACAAGGGCAACGTTGTCGCAAAATACGCCCGACACAAAAGCTTTTGACAGAGATGTGGGCATTATAGTTATGCATATAGGAGATATGCTCTGGGCAATATAATATCCGGACAAAATTAGTACATTGTATATTTCATCATCTTTTGTGACCTTGGCATTGCATATATTGATCTAAATTACATGTGTCCCAGCCTTAGTAATGATAATGACCATTTGTGTTACAATCCCTAAATAAATGATGACTAAATGGTCCTTATACAAGTCTTCATATTTTTACCTAAACTCCGGACAAAATTGGACACCGCCGGCCCGCCTGTCCGCCGGACCGTCCGCCCGCCAGGGGAGTTCCTATTATACAACCCGTTTTTCAAACGGGCGTATAAAAACAGTATAGTATATGGCCGAAACATTTAATTTCTTCCACCATAACAAAGTTAAAGAAAAAAGATAATGCAGTCATGTTTAATGAAAAGGTATGCCTTTAGTTCTACAGAACATTTTAAATTAAAACTGAAACCTTTAAATTACACCTGATACACAGATTTTGACACTTAAACAGTCGTTGAAAATGCTACTAAAATGTCGAAAGAAAATAAATCGTTATTTGACTTCAAAAATTCATGTAAGAAAGGCACCGCGCAGGTCACTTTCGTTGTGTTTGATCATGAAATCTTTTCTATGGTCATTCACACTGTACCTTTACCCTGGTATGTACAGGAAGTTATAAGTTCCTTGCTAAAGTGAAGGCAACTAGTGCTGGTAAACGGTTTGACATCCTGCCCAAGCACGATGCGGTGGCTGAACTATGCTCGGGTAAATTCAATATGGCTCGCTGTCATAATCCAGAGTGTAAACTACCACCACCACCACCACAATCATTTCAACTTGGTCTTCCCCCATAAGCACCATTCAACGTAGGTCTCCTTTCTGATCAAGACCATGTGTCACTAATAAATTGATAATAAGCGTAATTTACAATATGATAAAAAATGTAGGTTAACACCATATTAAGAAACACTGTCAAGTGTCAACGAGTTCTTATCTCCGAAAACAAATTGCGATATCATAAAAAGCCACAACGACATAAACATGACTATCAAAAACGTACACTTAGTTTTGTTTGGTTATATTATTTTGTTTAACACACAGCTAGCTGCTTCTGCTGCCACAGATGGAGATAAATTGACTAGAGTTCTCTCTGAACTTGAAGAATTACAGGCGAAGGTCAGCACATGCGAGGAAAGACTGACGATAGTGGAGGTTCACAAAAATGACAACAAGTTGAGAGCGTCCACAAATGAACAGAGATTGGCTCACGTGGAGGAAAGACTTCTCGCTGCAGAGAGAAAACTTAGAATAACCGAAAATATTTATGAGAAAAAGTTAGCTCAGACAGAGAGTAAACTTCGTGGAGCAGAAACCAAACTAAACGTCGTTGAAAAGCTACATGACCGCTTAGCACACATAGAGAAGTTGATCGTAGGCTTAAGTTCTAAAGATGGTTACATTGAATCGGTCAAGGAAGCAGCCAATAGTTTGAGAATACAACTGCCACAGAATCCGATAAGGGAAAAGATATCTAATGCAAAGATACTTGGTATCCTCGAAGAAAAGCATGGGGATGAAACTTACAATAAAACCAACACTCAAAGAGATGGCCTTTACAATATCGCTGAAACACGACGATCATCTAGTCGAAAAATAGAGACAGGTAAGAAACCATTTATATATCAAAATTGAGTTCCTATGATGAAAATACGGTAACACGATGATGAAATGGTGAATCGAAATGGAATGATAACATGACGGCAAAATTCGATGGGATAATGGTGGTAGCACGATGGGATGATTTCCAAAATGCAGAATTGCATCACCATTTTACCATCGTATTTTCATTATCGTATTAAAGGGTTTTCATCATTGTGCCATCATCATAGCTAAGGTAAAATAAAAACTCACGTTTGTCCAAACGGAGCATAGTAGTCATGGCATTTGACGTTGAACAAACTTGAAAGAGGAATATGTAAGAATTACATGCATAAATATTTTTTGATAATAAATGATCTCTCCAGTTATCAATTATGATTGGGAATAGCAATTTACAATAGCTTAACACGAGCAATTAGTGTGTGCTAAATTACCCTTTTTTCAATAAAGGAAAAAAAAACATGATCCAATACGATTTGCTTAGAATATTATATACCGGTATTGGCGAATGCACGCCAAGTTATAACGCAACGAACGTCAGTCAAAATATCCACACTCTTTTACAACCATAATGGTAACAGGATAAGCAATTTAAGTTCCCCTCGTCTATCTTCCTTCTCTGTCAAACCCCTCATGACGATGTAGAAAATCTAATCATAGATCAGATACTATATCAACAATTGAGCATATAAATATAAGATTTGAAGTTCTTTTTGTATATTTTAAGGGTCCAACTTTCCCTACTCGAAGCGACTTTTGGGTGTAGTCGTAAGTCACAGACCTGCTTTTTCAGCCTTTTTATCCGATCACGTATCTGGACTGGGAAAAGAGCAAACAATTCCATTTGATGACGTTTTGTTAAATGAAGGTAATGCATACGACCCAGTTCTGCATGCATTCATATGTCCGGTCAATGGGATATACATGTTCCAATCAGCTGTAAACTGTGTGCAGTATCAATATATGCAGACTGAAATCGTCAAGGATGGCACAACATTGACAAGAATGTACTCTTCAGGAGCTACCGGTAGTGATGGGTATGATCAGGGCTTTAATTCTGCCATTGTGAGATGTAATCAAGGGGAAAGAGTCTGGGTTAGAGTTCATTATGTATTTGGGACGTCAGTATTCAGCTGGCGGTACTCTTCTTTTTCAGGCTATATTCTGTGGGAAGTGTAATTTTACTGTAAAGAAATACATACATGCAATGTCATTAAAGAAAAACAAAACTTCTTAAATGAAAGGAGAATTTATTGTCCTTTGTATAAAAATATACATCAAGAAATTAACATAAGTAAAAGTAAATATTGTAATGAACACTTCAGTCATAAGGTAGATTAATATAAGAACACAATATGGTAACACACTTGTAACTTTAAAACAAAAAATAAAATAAACTGTTGCCTAATTAAATCAGCAAGAATTTATTTTATTTTTGAAACACAAATCTGAAGTACCACAGGTTGAGAACAACAAGTTCTAAGTCGTAACATGATTATCAAGTAATTTATGTAAGGGCCTTTAGAGCACAAATGAGAAATGAAAGTACATGTATAATTTTTGATGGGTTTTATGTAGCACCAACACAACATCAGTCATATGGCCACTTTTCTGGTGGAGGAAAGCCTCAAGCAAAGACGGGAACCCCAAGTAGAACTACAACTGAAAGGAACACATGCAAGGGCTAACATATTTGAAATACATGTAAAATACATAAACATATAGGAACACAAGAAGGTAAAGCATGAAGACACAACAGTTACAACAATTTCTACATTTCTAAAGAACAAAAGTTTCTATAATTTATAATACCTTGGAGTAAAGCTTATATACAAGTGGCAATCCCCTTAATCTAAAGAAAGTAAAAGTATAAACTTCAAATCTCTCTTCAAATGATATCTTGAAGAAATATATTATATAAAGAACAGTGAGTTTCATCTTTATCATGCCAGTTGTATAAGGCAGTAAAAAAGACAAATTTTATTTTACAGCACAATATTCCCCCATTTTTTTACTTTATGTGTTGCATAGTTTTTAAAGAATCCAAAGACAATCATATACAGCTTAATTCTACCTGTCATAGATATTTTTTTTAAAATTATTTGACACCATTTAAATCATTGAGCAGCTTTTTTTTACAAGTTATTTAACGCTTTGTTAAATCATTGAGCCAAGTCCAGGAAGAAAAACTGTATCAAACTTACACTGGCAGTGTATCATAAAATAGACAAGGCTTTATACATAAAGCTGGACAAAATTAATTATCTATTCTGCATCAAACTATGCTATAATCAACTGGCAGAAGTCTAATAATTATTTACTATAATTTGATTAGGTAATTGGGTCGTTAAAGAATAATGCGCGAGGTACAGCTGCAAAGCTTTGTAATTAATCTCTTTATGTATTGAAAATTAAAGTGTCAGGTGTTAGAATCATCAATATATCAGATCTAACATTTTGTTGAATACAGAAATTCAATTAAGTTTAAAAACTAATTTTATTACAAGT